TCAGCAGATCTTTCACCTCAGATAGAAAACTTACTAGATCCTGTTGAACTCAATTCTGGCGTCGAGTTCAAGCCATTTTGTATAGCAACAGGGATGCCACTTCCTAAATCTGAGGAATTCAAACTTTTGAAGCAAGATGGAACTGTCCTAAGGGTAGGCTCCTGATTAATTGCTTTTTGCACTATGGTTTTCAAGCATAATGTGAAATTTTGATATTTTGAGATGCCCCATGGTGATGCCAAGAAAACCTGGAAAAGAACAACTCACAGACTTGTATCTCTGAGTAGCAGGTATTTGTTTATTCAGCACTGGGCACAAGGGGGATCATTCCACCAAACTTGTGCAACCAGGGACAAAACCTTCAGTTTATGTACATTAAATGCTTATACATATTCATTATTTCCAGGAATAGGCGGCCATTATTACAATTAGTTCTTTGAAATAATTATCGTAATCTCCTCCTTCATCTCCTCCCGCTTGACATCAGTCCGATGGTCTCTGGTGGTCATCCCGGGCTTGTCAGGAGGAAGACTGATGGTCTTCATCAGACTGATATTTTCACCTTTGAGTTTGGCACATGCTCTTTGGTCTTGCTCTTCTGCTGCCTGGTCCTGAGTCCAGCTGCATCTAGTTTTACTCCTTCATATATACATTGTGTTTATGATCCCTAAGCTAAAATAATGCCCTAAGTTCTACCCTTTTCATGCTTAATAAACTAAAACAATGCCTTATTAATCAACCTTCTACATTCTGTTTATTCAGGTGCTCTCTACTTGACTATTCCGTATCCTACTCTCAGCTTTAACTATTCAATTCCCGTTATCAACAGATTCGTGAGCACATATGAAACTATGGAATTGACCATTATAGAAGCTTTTCATTGATACCACTAAACTCTACAAAAGTTTCTAAAGTGTGAGAAAGTATCATTTGACTATTACAAAATGGCCACATTTTCTGGGCCGTGTACATCTTTTGTCATTTCAGCCTGCCCTGCTTGTTACCAGTAATCGCTCCGAAGCTATGTTTACCATTAATCGAATCCAGCCCCCTGAT